AAAAGCAGCAAATAAACATATGAAAAAATGTTCAACATCACTGGTCATTCGAGAGATGCAAATGAAAACAGCACTGAGATTCCACTTCACCCCATAAAGAATGGCTACTATCAAGAAATCAATAACAAATGCTGGCAGGGTTGTGGGGAGAAAGGAACCCTTCTCCATTGTTGGTGGGAGTGCAGACTGGTGCACCCACCATGGAAATCCATATGGAGATACCTCAAAAAACTAGGATTAGGGGTCTCATTTGACCCAGCTATTCCCCTGCTGGCTATCTTCCCCAAAGAATTAAAAGCATACCACAGTGATATATGTACACCCATGTTTATAGCAGCACAGTTTGTAATAGTTAAAACTTGGAAACAGCCCAACTGCCCATTAACTGGAGACTGGATAAAGATTTTTTTTAAAAAAATAAAATGGAGTACTACTCAGCCATAAAGAATGAGAAATTCAAGACATTTGTAGCTAAATGGATGCATATTGAGGCCATACTTTTAATAAATAGGAAAAGTGTAAATATTGAATAGTTTCTCTGGTGTGAAAAACTAAAAGTGTAAATAAGGATCAAAATGTATAATTGATAACTGAAATAGGAAGAAAAGGTCTAAAGGAGTAGGGGAATTGGGAGAGGTAGGGGAAAGGAAAGGGGAAAGAAAAAATGAGAAAAGGAAAAAATGGAAACAAAATCTTTGTAAATAGGGAAGGGTGGAGAGGGGTGAAGGGAGGGCAGTGGAATGGGGAAACAATAAGAACCAAGATACATCATGCAAAGGTAGAGGATCCTAATGATGAATGAATTTTTTTTTTTTTTGGTACCTGGGATTGAACTTGGGTCCTTATGTTTTCGAGGCAGGCGGCGGCACCACTGAACTAAATGCCCAGCCCCTAATGATGAATGTAACTGTATTGTATACCTAAAATGTACCAATAAACTTAATCCAAAAAGAAAAAAGAAAAAAAAGTAGCTCTGCTTCATGTTAATCCCCAGCAGCAGACTCTCCTGCTTTCTTCTCTCCCTGTGCATTGAGTGCCATGGTTAGAACCATCAGCTCAGTTCAACAGGCTGTGCTTCCCAGGAAGTCAGTTCTGCTTGTTTCTGATTAGTGAGTGGCACAGGTACTGCTGGAGGTATTAAACCCTTTCCTGAAGTGCTACTGTGACCACATGTGACACACACACACATGCACTGTCAGCTAGGAAGATGCTTAGACTAAAGCAAAGCTTTTAAAAGCTGAAATAGAAAGGGAATAGGTGATATTTGGAAACTGAAGAAAGCATTTGTTCATGTCAGGAAAATGTTACATTGAGTTTTATATTAAGCCTTTTTTATTTTTGACACATGAACTTTTTTTTTTGAGACAGGATCTTGCTATGTAGTCCAAGCTGGCCTTGAACTCACTATGTAGCTCAGGATATCCTCAGACTTGTGGCGATCCTCCAGCCTCAACCTCCCAAGTGCTGAGATTATAGGCGTGTACCACCATGCCTGGCTTACACGAGGCTTTTTACAGGAAGTACTTCTGGCTACAATTCAAGCCCCCCTCCCAAGTGTGTCTGTGTTCTGTGTGTTAGTCCTATGAAAACTTGGCCAGGACACTTTCTCTTCTGCACCTGCCTTCAAAAGCTGACCATTTCTAAGACTGGCATTCCTGCCCCCTAGCAGGACAATGAGAGGTGGCTGGCTCACAGGCACCCATAAAACAGGGCTCAATCAATACTCATTCACAGCCTCAATACTAATTTTGGCCCTTTCTCACATATATGGCTGTAAAAGACAAATCTAATGGAATAAAAAACAAAATGAACAAAAAACCATGGGCAGGGCAGGTGGAAAAGCTGAGTAAGAGAAAAGGAAGAAAAAGAAGCAAGTCTTGAGAGCTGGCAACAGAAGTCTCTTAAAAAAATCAACAAGAAAATTCATCTCCCCAATCTTCCAAGAGGGAAAATGGGAAAACTGAGGAGCTAAATACTAAAAGAAACCCAAAGCCAAAGCTGATGCTAGTGGCAAGTTAATAGGGCAACCTCAAGGCTGAAGCACCCAAGATGGGGTGGGCCTTGTGAAGCCAAGACCTTTCCTCATCAGAGGGTTTGGTGACATACCCTACCTGCTAGGTATTCCAGAAGGCCACATGCACGCAGAAGCACTTGGCTGCTAGATCCAGGGCTAAAAAGGCCTCACTACTGTATAATACCAGTTGGTTGGTGACAAAAATGGTGGTCCTGGGTGGCTAAGCTTTGAAAAATGCCTAGATACCACCCTGCTGTAGACATGCAGGGGAGGTGTGGAACAGGGCAAACCCATCATCAACACTGTGCGCTTGCCTCAGGCCATGAAGGCCAGTGAGCTTGTTTCCAGAAGCAGCTGAGTGGTGGCTTGTCTGTGACAGGACCACTTTCTCTCAGGCAAGTTCTGCTGCACAGAGCATATCAGAAATGTGCCATCTCTACCTGGACTGAAATTAGTACCTGCAACGTGAAGAGCCAAAAGCACTGATACCATTTTAAGCAGTAGCAGCAGTAGCCCAGACAGCAGGGAGGGACTGTGGATATGGAGAAAGAAATGAAAGCTTACAGAGGTAGCCATGTGAGGTTGAGCAGAAGGCTGTAAACTTGCAAATTTACCAAAAAATCAAAGCTGAGCCTCAGCTCCAAGGATGGTTTTGTTTTAACAAAAGGAATTTATTCATAAGTTGGTCTTCTAAATTTCTCACCAAGAACCCAATTAAATGATGATATACTCTGTGTCTTTTACAAAAAATTCTTACCAGCCTGGAGATGTGATTTCAGCCTCTCCTATGAAGTGGGGTGGAGGGAGTGGT